TTCGCCCGGAACCAGCTGCAGTTCGTAATCCGAAGGATATCAGAGCTGAATGCCAATTTATCTTAAAAAAACTAAGAAAAGAGTCTACCTCTGTCCACATCTTTGACATGTTAATGCCATCATCTTCTCATAACTGGACATCTGTCGTCGACGACTGATCTCTGCAGATAACACTGGTGTCGTACTCCGTGTGCAACCTGTTGAGCCAACCGATGAAACCTGAAATTTTCCCAAGCTCTGCCATAATGTATCACTTACAAAACGATAATACTGTACCCGGCAAGACCTATCCATCAAAGAATAAAGAGAAAATGATAGAGTAGGGAAAATGAAGAAGGGAAAAAAAGAAAAACGAAGTGGAAAAGGGAAATGGGAGCGTGGAAACAGTTGTAACAGATCAGAAATGTCTCGGTCCATTAAGTCGTATACATTTCTTACCGTTACCACACACCTTAAAGTGCCGCACACCTACATGGCGAGATGGCGAAGAAGACAATCTTTTCAAGTTATTTAAAAAAAAAAGGCTATTTACCACACTTCTGTGAATAGCACAAAAAAAAGAAAGCGGTAAAGACAAAGAGCGCCAATGAGTCAGTTATGCTCCTCATACCGCCTTTTTTCTACAAAAATCCCTCATTTAATAATCTTGGTTAAAATCCAAAAAAACCTTGTCCCTCATCGCATGCCGTGAAATCATATTTGATTAATAATTATTACAATCGAGTCTACTTTTCAAGTAAAACTCTAAACTTACCGGGATTGAACCTTTGGTAGGTTGCTGTCGATCTGGACTACGCATAACAGCCCCTGCGCTAGCTGTTGAGTCACCATGGTCATTCACGTGCTGCTGCTGTTGCGCATCTCCATCTGATGCGTTTGTACTGCAGTCAGACGAGGATTCGTTGCTTCTGATTTCCGGACTTAAACTTTTTGTAGCCACCTGCAGTAAAGCATAACCAAGCTTTTTGCCAACTTTTGAATACGAAAAAAAAAAGCAAAAGACTGGAAAAATTGGAAATTCTGAATACAAAAAATCCAAAAAATTGGTGAAAAACTAGTCGAAAAGTACGATGCATGGTGCGATAAGTAGGCAAACGATGCAACAGTTGGATGATAAAACGAGAACGCATAGTAAAATTATAAAAGTACCATAGCTAGAGATACCTAGACAGGGTTACGTGGATGGGATGTTTTGAAGTTTCCTCTTCTTCATTTAGGGGGCAATAAAAAAAATTTACTGGTGAAATGCCGCACCTTCAACATAGCTCAGAGGTGGCAAGCTAAGATTTTAAATATATTGCATTTTTGCACACTTTCTTTAAAGACTATTTCCTCAGTACACCATATTCTAGCTTTCTTACAGAAAGTGCACTCTGTCTGTCGCAAGTAGAGCCCTTTCTCAAAAATCATCCTGGACCAGGAGGGAATCGAACCACTACACTTCACGTCCGAACGCAATGCATTACCACTACACCACCGGTCCTTGTGCTCCAGTCTGACAGCACATCTACTGTGTATCTGTCCTTCAAGGCAAAACACACCTTCCTTTTCTTTTTGTGGCGGCTTCTTGGCTGCTTTTTCACGGATCTTCCGAGACATTGATTTGCTTCGCCATTTTTTAGAACCGCAAAATGTAAAAAAGATAACAAATAGCAATAGTTTACCTGAACTTTATTGTAATTTCTTTGTATACAAACATCACTCGGTTCTACAAGCTGCCTAACACTTGATTCTTCGTCATCTGGCTCCTTTTCCACCTGAAATGACGGATCCTCTATAATATAATAATCAAAAAAATCTGTTGTTCAGAATTTGTGTTTTTATTAAAAGTGTAAAACTCAAACCTCAACTGTAAAATCCAAATGAGGCTTCGATTTAACAACACGCACTGAATTTGACGACGAATCAGGCGAAGCATCATCGACGCTCACGTAAAAATCAACATCCTGACGTGGGAATGCTGAAAACTTTCTTTTTATATAGAATGTAGTCAGAAAAAAATTATAAATACTTTTAGCAAAATTTATCAAACTGCAACGCAAACGTTCTGAATTACAGATAATCCAAGCATACCATATAAGTCTCATAGGACCATCTCATTGTTCTTCTCTGGGAAAGAACAAAAATGCTATCTGGGGAGAAAAAACAGACAGAGACATTCCCCGTGAGAAAAAAACAACTTAAAATTCACATCCTCG